ATGTTCTCTTATTTGACTTGGACTGGTTATATTCTTGGCAGTAATTTAAAATTTAAAATTTAAATACATAATAATATAAAGTTAAAAAATATTATTTCACGAATTTAAATTCTGTTTAATTAAAAATCACTAAAATTTAGTAGAATTCATGTAGAAATTGTATAGAATCGTTCTAGTGAAATTCTATAGAATGATTCTAGTGAAATTCTATAGAACTTTTTCAGCTGGGTAGTCATTCAGAAAAAATTTTAGACAGAAATCAGAAGTAAAAGTTTATTTTAGTAAGATATTACTTTAAAATTGTTTAATTTTGTCTCTATAGTTAATAGAGTTGAAAGAGTTAATGTGGATCAGTAAAAAAAGTCAATTTTAGTCAGACATTACTTTAAAGTTATTTAAGTTTGAGTCTATAATAAAAAAAAACAGTTCAAAGGGATCAGTAGTAATAGTCCATTTTCAATCAGACAATGCTTTAAACTTGTCAAATTTAATAACTTTAATTTTTGTCAATTTAGTTTAATTTTTTGTTTTGACAATTTTTAAGATAAAACCAAAATCAGTACTACAGATACACTTTGGTCAGACAATAGTCTGTTTATCTTTTTTTACTCAAAATTATTTAAGATTGTTCTTTATTAGAAATTTTACTAATTTCTAAATCAAAAATTAAGGCGAGAATTTATTAATAATTAGTTATTTTTAATTAATTCAGATATAGAGAAAAGAGGATTATCCTCCCCCATTTTGCTGCAAGAACAAGATAATCATAAGAAATACATGTTATTACGACATTATTAATGTCATAAATAATTGAGAAAGGAAAATGTCGATAAAATATTTGATTTTTTCGAAGCTTACCTTTATTGTTTTTTCTTCAATGAATAATGAAGTAATTTTACTTAACAGGATACTATTTTAAATGTTCTTGACAAAAAAATTATAATCTAAAATTAAATTTAACATTTTTAAAGTGTGTCTAAAGAAATGTAGAAAAATAATAACTTAAAATATTAAAGTTATCATTTTTAATAAATAGTTAATAATTACTTGTCATTAATTACACAGTTTTTTTAAGGATATCAAATTTTTAATTATTTATTTTATTAAATGAGATCAATGTTCCTAGGGCATGGAGCGCACTAAGAAAATAAATACAAGAATTAACAATTAAGACTGTTTGTTTTTTTGTTAGGTCAAAATCAAAATTAACTGAAATTTTTGGTAACTAATTAAATATTAGTAAAATTTGACTATTCTTGTAGTTGTTTATTTACTAAAAATTAGTAATTTTCTACTAGTAACTAGTTAAATAGTTAGTAAAAATTTCTATGAATTCTCAGTTTAATTTTACTATTTTAAATTAGTAGTTTTCTACTAATAATTAGTTACTTTTTTGACCAATTTCTGAGGCAAAAATTTAATCACAATTTTACTAAGAATTAGTTATTTTTGACTAATTCATATTTAGAGAGTAATAAATCAGACGTTTGCTTCTAAAACCGTTTTCAATAGTAAAACTCCATTTCCGTCAGACAAGCAGTATTTAAATTTTTTTCTTTAGGTTTTATACATACATTTCCAAAGCAGATTTTACTATTTCAGAAACAAAATTTTGACAAAATTTTTACCTAAATTTACTTTGTAAATATCACTTGAAAATATTCTTCGGCAATTTTTTAAAAAAATAATAAAATTTTACTGAGAATTTGTAGAAATTTTTTTTTATATTTCAATATATGTGGACGTCCACATGAAAAGGGCCCATTTTGGCACTATTGGAGTTATCTATGTGGGCGTATTCCTGTCAAAATTTGGAAAATTTTGAGTGGTCTTAGAACTTTTTTGGTTGAAAATTCGCTGAGTTGCGGAATTTCAAAGTTTAGAACGCCAAAAACCTCATTTCGAGAAAAACGGAATTAATGATTGCGATACCAACTAATTGTTGTATCTCTGGTTCTTCTTGGAAGTTATTCAGATTAGAATTGTTTCCAGTTCAGGGCACCTTGAAGATAAAAAACCAACAGGTTTAAAATTTTTAAAAACATCCCCCCCCCCCTCTTAATTTTGAAAATACGAAAAACCGACAATATGGACCCTTTTCTAAAAAGGACAGTTTTTCTATTAAAAAACCATTTTTTTACAAGATTAATGATTAGGTACAATTTTATTGTGTCATTTGAAGAAAAAGAATAGACATTAAACTTATTTAAAATTTTTTGACAGTCTCTATTATGAAAAAATTGACGCAAAATCTAATTTTTCATTTCTATGACTACAAAAACAAGGACTCTAACATCAATATCTCTGGTTCTTCTGGGAAGTTATTCATGGGGCAAAATTCCTCAATTGTCCTAACTTAAAATCGAAAGTCTTCAAATCGGGCTAATTTTTGCACAAACTTTAATACTATGGGAGAGAACTTTACCCATAAAATATTAAGATATTTTATTAAAAATTGTAGGGGGGAGAGGGGGTTAAAGTTTTTGGTAACGTGTTGACAGTGGATTCTTTTAGCTAATATAGCTAAAATACAGTAGAGTGGACAAAATTTTGACCTATATGTTTTCGAAAGGTTTTTTCCTCCTCTATCGAATGGTGTAAAATTTTTTTTTTTTAATTAACAATTTAACTTATTTTTTTCAAAATTAAAAATATTTTTCACTTTTTTTTGAAAATCGACATTTTTTTTTTCTCTTTTTTTTGCTTTAAAATAAAGCTTAATATGTGTACTTTCCATAACTGATTCTGAAAAAATGACGTTTTTTTTCGTTTTCGAATTATTAATTAATTAATTAATAAAAATCAGTAAAAAATTACTAAAAAATGAAATATTCTTTAAGCAAGTAAACTTTTCTGAATTATGGGATTATCATCGTAAAGCTTACCTAATTCCGCATCCAACAAGTATAATTACACCTATTTTTACAAATAATTGTTAAATAAATAAATAATTAAAAATTTATTTATTAATTTTTTGAAAAAAGGACATTTTTTTCTTCTTTCTTGCTTTAAAATAAAGCTCAATATGTGTACTTTCAATACTCAATTAGGAAAAAGTGCCGTTTTCTTTTGTGTTTCGAATAATTAATTAATTAATTAATTAATAATAGTAAGAAATTATTAAAAAATTTAATATTTTTCAAGCAAATAAACTTTTCTTAATTATGAGCTTATCATCGTAAAGCTTACAAAATTCCGTATCCAACAAGCATAAACTCAACTGTTTTTTTATAAATAATTGTTAAATAAATAAATAATTGATTATTTATTTATTAATTTTTTGGAAAATGACATTTTTAATTTTTATTTTTATTTTAAACAAAGCTTAATATGTGTACTTTTAATACCCGATTAGGAAAAAATGACATTTTTCTTTTCGTATTATTTATTAATTAATTATTAATAAAAATTATTTTAAAAAAATTAATATTTTTCAAAGAAATAAACTTTTCTTAATTTTGGGCTTGCCAACGTAAAGCTTACCAACTTCCACACCCAACAAGTTTATTTTTAACTATTTTTTATAAACAATTGTTAAATAAATAAATAATCAATTATTTATTTATTTAACAATTATTTATAAAAAAACAGTTGATTTTATGCTTGTTGGATGCGGAATTAGGTAAGCTTTACGATGATAATCCCATAATTCAGAAAAGTTTACTTGCTTAAAGAATATTTCATTTTTTAGTAATTTTTTACTGATTTTTATTAATTAATTAATTAATAATTCGAAAACGAAAAAAAACGTCATTTTTTCAGAATCAGTTATGGAAAGTACACATATTAAGCTTTATTTTAAAGCAAAAAAAAGAGAAAAAAAAATGTCGATTTTCAAAAAAAAGTGAAAAATATTTTTAATTTTGAAAAAAATAAGTTAAATTGTTAATTAAAAAAAAAAAAATTTACACGATTCGATAGAGGAGGAAAAAACCTTTCGAAAACATATAGGTCAAAATTTTGTCCACTCTACTGTATTTTAGCTATATTAGCTAAAAGAATCCACTGTCAACACGTTACCAAAAACTTTAACCCCCTCTCCCCCCTACAATTTTTAATAAAATATCTTAATATTTTATGGGTAAAGTTCTCTCCCATAGTACTAAAGTTTGTGCAAAAATTAGCCCGATTTGAAGACTTTCGATTTTAAGTTAGGACAATTGAGGAATTTTGCCCCTCATATAAGAATTGTTTACAGTCCAGGACACCTTAGAGATGAAAAATCAAGAGGTTTTAAATTTTTTCCACACCTCCATTTTTAAAATCGGATTACTTTTGCAAATGACCGACAAAATGGGCCCTTTTCATTTTTCTAAAGAACCAATGAAATCAAACAGTTAAATTATCGATAAATTAATGAAAACCGCATGATTGGACTTGTCAAAACATGTAGATTGATAATAAAAAATAAAAAAAAAATTAAGATTTTGCTCTAAAATTACTAAATTGCGATTATCTCGAAAACTAGAACCGACAATATGGGCCCTTTTCATGTGGACGTCCAGATATATTTTAATCAATAGACAGTTAGAATTCGTTTATGGTAAATATATTTCCAGTAGTAAAGAACAATTTTAGTCAGACGTTTTAATTGAGGTTTTCTTAGTAGTAAAGAACCATTTTAGTCAGACGTTTTTGCTCAAATTGTAAATAAATAAAATTTAAAAATTATAATAATGATAATAATAGTAAGTTATAGTTTATTTTTTTACTATCTTATTTTTATAAATAATATTAGCTATTCCTACTGTTTTTTTTTACAAAAATAAGCCACTATTGAAACACAGTTTTTCTACAGATATCAAATTTACACAAAAAACGGATCAAAAGTTTTAGAAGGAACGTTTTGATTCGTTTTTTGTCTCAGTGTTGACTCTAAAAACAATATTAGTAATAAAAAAAATTGATATTGATAAAAAATGATGAAAAAAAATAATGATAATAGCAGAATTGCAAAAATAAAAGAGAAATGATTATAATTGAGTTTTGAATATATTTAGAAGGTATACGGCTCATCAACAACAGCAGCAAAGAGGCAGCAGGGGATTTCCCGGGCAGCCTGGGAGTAAGGGATTCCGCACCGGTGCCCCGAATTGGTCCTTTGTCTTTGATCCTGCGGGACGTCTCTGCTACTATTGGTCGATGGTGGTATCACTTGCCTTCCTCTACAATTTCTGGGTCATCATCTATAGGTTCGCCTTCCAAGAGATCAACGGTAAGTCCCTTGCGTATCTTTGTCACGTACAACGATTGAGATCAGAGACAGCGAACAATGAATTTCCCGCGCCACAGTCCCGAAAACACAATCATCCACAAGTTCCACTTCAAAATCGCTGAATTCAGAGTTGATTTTATTATTCCAATTTACTTTTTTTTCTTCTCTACTTTTATTTACTTCTCTGCTTTTATTCTTTTTTTCTTTCTTTTGTCGTACGAAATTAAGGTTCATTTATATTTATATTACTTTCTTTCAGTTAATTATTTTATTTTCATTACATTCGTTCGGTTAATTCCTTTCTTTCCGTATCACATTCATTTGGTTAATTAATTTATTTTTTCTTTATATTTATTATATTTATTATTTTATTTATTTCACTTTATTTACTTTCAATATATATATTTGAATTAAATATATTGATTTTCCTTTTATTACTTTTATTCTGTTAGTTATTTGTTATTTATTTTAGTTTATTTATATTTACTTTAGTTTGTTTATTTTATTCCTAGTACTTAGTTAGTTATTTAATTTTCATTACATTCATTCTGTTTATTGTTTTATTCACATTACTTTAACATGGTTAAATATTTTAATTTTTTTAATGAATTTGATTTATTATTTTATTTCCTTACTTTTTTATTGTTTTTTTAGTTTACCGTCAACTGGGGCTATTTTGTGCATCCGGGGGCTATTTTGTGCACTCGAGTTTTTTAATGAAAAAAATTATTAAAATGAATTATTTTAATCTGCTATTTTGTAAAATGAAAGTTTGATTACATGACAATAGAGAGCACTAAATGTTATTATTTAATTCTTTGTCAATTAAGAGAAAAAAATTCCTAAAAACGGAAAATTTGTTTAAAAAATTTTGAAAGTTCGGAAAAATTATACCAGATCTTCTAGAGTTTTAATGTGTCTCATAAACTGAGTTAGATATTTGTTGTCAATTGTGTTGTGATGATACATACGTAATGCGCTAACTTTTTATTCATTATTTTAAGAGAAAAGTGGAAAAAACTGAAAAACCAGGATTTCATGGGGCTATTCTGTGCACTTAAAAAATCAAATATTTTTCATAAATGTTTTATTTAGTAAGTAAAGAAGATTCAGTTTATCATTTTAATACATTTTTGTCTTACTTTTCTGTCAAAAAACTGTAAATACGTTAATTAAAATCATTAAAACGATTAAAAGCTCTACCGGTGCACAACGTAACCTCAAAAAATGAACATTAATTAATATTTATAAGTTTTTCAAATTAGTTTTAAAACTATTTTCTCGTTTCTCTTAAAATAACTTGAAAAGCATATTAGATATTAAATTGTTATCTATTTAACCTTAAAAATATTTATTTCAAGTTTTTTAAAAATATCATTCAAAACTATTAAAAAAGCTCCTATTGAAATGATGTTTTTAAGTTATTTATAAGTGTTTAAACGATCATTTTATAATTATATTAGTATATTATTATAAAATATATATTAAAAAAGAAAAAAATGTTATTTACTATCTACGTAATATACAATTTAAAGAAAGATTGTTAATTTTTAGTAAATTCAGATTTTAGCAAAATTTTAGTGCTTTATTTTACATTTTTTGTATAATATATCTACAAAAAAAATTTTACTAGGTCATTCTTTTTTTAACTTACTCTCAAATATATACACAAAAGATTTCATGAAGCAGAAACGATTAAAAAAATGTTTACGCAACATTATAGGAAAACAAAGTTCGATGCACAAAATAGCCCCATCCCGGGAGTTATTGTGTGCACGACTTTCAATGACTATAACTAAGACAAAAAAATTTTTTTCTTTGCCAAATTTATAGGAAACCTTCAGAAGGATGTCCACAACATATATCAAAAGTTGATTTTCTTTATTCTCTTAATTCTGAATTTAAATAAATCTTTGAATCAAAAAAAAGCTATTTGGTGCACAAAATAGCCCCGGTTGACGGTATTTTGTTTTTATTTTATTTTCCTAATTCTTATTTAATTTATTTACTTAGTCATTACTTATTTACTAATTGATTACTTATTTATTATTGAATTATTTCGAGAATAATGAAAATAATTGAACTACTTCTTTCGAGGATTATTATTAAAATTATATTGAAAATAATAATTGATTTTTTTCAGGGAAGAATTTTATTCAAATTTAAAAAAATAATTTAATTGTTTCCAAGAAATTTTATGGTAAAAATAAATAAAATATTTCGATGAATATAATCAAAATTTAAAATAATTAAAAAATTTAAATTAAAATAATTATAAGAATTCAAAGTAATTAAATTCTTGCAAACAATGTTGTTGAAACTTTAAAAAATAATTGAAATCTTTCCAGAATATTGAAAATAATTGAATTCTTATCAATAATTTTACTCAAATTTCCAAAAAATAATTAAAATCTTCCAAAATATTTAAAATAATTGAATTTTTAGGATAAATTATACTTAAATTTCTAAAAGTAATTGAATTCTTTCAAAGAATTTTATTAATTTATAATAATAACTACATTTTTGCAAAAAAAGTTATTACTATTTTTGAAAATAATTTGATTTTTTGGAAAAAATTTACTAAATCTTGTATTAAAAATAATTAAATTCTTTTTAAGAATTTATTTAAAACTGTTTTTAAAGTAATTGAATTTCTGCAAAACTTTTCTTATTTATAAAAACAATTGAATTTCAGGAAAGAATTTTGCTCAAAACTTTAAAAATTATTTAATTGTTCCAAAGAAATTCTATTAAATTTGTAGTAAAAATAAATAAATTCTTTCGATAAATATATTTAACATTTTATTGAAAATAATTATATTCTTGAGAAGACTCCTATTGGAACTTTCACAAATAATTGAATTCTTTCAAAAGTATTGAGAATAATTGAATTATTGAGAAGAATTTTATTGAAATTAAAAAAATAACTAAAATTTTTCAAAACATTTGAAAATAATTGAATTTTAAAGAATTATATAATCAAAATTTCAAAAATAATTGAATTCTTTCAAAGAATTTTATTCAAATTTCCAAAAAAAAATTAAAATCCTTTAAAGATATTGAAATTCTTGGGAAAAAATTATAATCAAATTTTCAAAAATAATTGAATTCTCTTGAGAATATTGAAACTAATAATAATTGAATTAGTGTGAAGAATTTTAATATTTATAATAATAATTAAATTTCTGTTAAGAAAAAAATTGAAAACTATTGAATTATTTTTAAAAAAAACTTTATTATTCATCACGATATCTGAATTTTTGCAAAGGATTTTGTTAAATCTTTCGAAAATAGTTTAATTGCTTCGAAGAATTTTATTGAATTTGTAAAAAAGTAATTGAATTCTTTTTAGGAATTTAATTGAAATTGTTATTTATTTATAAAAATAATTTAATTTCAGGGAAGAATTTAATTCAAATTTCTCAATATAATTAAATTCTTTCAAGAATATTGAAAATAATTGAATTCTTGCAAAGATTTATATTTAAATTTTCAAAAATAATGGAATTCTTTCTGAGAATTGAATTAAAATTGTTTTAAAAATAATGAAATTCTTTTAAAGAATTTTATTATTTATGTAAATACATAACTGTAAATTGTTGCTTGTAAATAATTGAATATTATAATTGTTATAATAGGAATTTTGAAAAACAATTAAATTTCTTTAGGGTTGGTTTGAGGATTTAGGAGATAGTGATGAGAAAAGACTGTACCGATTAACAGATTGTAAAAATGATAATATAAAAGTTAGGATAGCAAAAAAGTTATGGAAGGAAAGAGAGAAAATTATAAATAGGTTATAAGATGAATGGTGATAAGAGTATGTGTGTAAAATTATATAGAAATGTATACCAAGTCCACTTCCGGGCCAAAAGGCTGAAGTTATAATAAATAATAATTAAATTTCTTTAGGTTTTTATTTTATTTTGTTATTATTTTGTTTTTTTTTACTTTATTTATTTTCATTTTATTTATTTTTATTTTACTTCATTTACTTTTATTTTATTTATTTTCCTTCTCTTATTTTAATTTTGTTAGTTGTTATTTATTTTGTTTTGCTTTTACTTTACCTTATTAATATTTATTTATTTTTTTTTTATTTTATTTATTTTATTTCAATTTCCTTATTCATTCGGTTACTTATTTTATTTCCATTACTTTCGTTCGGTTAATTATTTTATTTCTATTATAGTTTCATTCACATAATGATTTTATTAGTCAGAGGGAGCTAACTTTGAAAGGGTTTTCTTGTTAAACTTTGGGTGAAAAAAGATTCAAATCGTATAAGGTAATGGGAGAGACATAATATTCTTAGAACGGCTCTTGAAATGAGTTTAGTTTTTAAAGCTTTACCAACGAGAGAAGAGTATTAAAAAAAGGGGAGAAGTCGAGAAAATTTTCATCAGTGGTAAAATAAATTCATTTCTTGTTAAAGAAAAATAAAAAATTAATTTTTATCAACTACTCAAAAAAACTTGAATACTTCCTGCAATTTAAAGTACTTACATAAAATTTTTATATGTACAAAAATAATTATTACACAATGAGAAAAAAAAATTTTTAATCCAAAGAAATAAGTAGACAACCAAAAAAATATATTTTAATTAAACATTTTTTATAATTCAATTAAACGTAATTTTTGTTGAATTAAACTTATTTATTATGTGTTGAATCAAAATTATTATGTTTATTTCAAAAATAATTTTTGAATGACTATAACAAAGATGATAATGTTTGATTAAAATATATATTGTTTTCTCAGTGTAATATTATTATTATGATAATTAAATAGTTTTAAACTTAGTTTATTTTTATAATAATTAACAAATTTTTAAAATTAATTTCTATTAAAAACAATATATTGGAAAATGTTTTTATTATTAAAAACTTTTTTATTATAATTTTTAAAATAATTAAAAATAATTTCCCTCTATCGTGTAATACTAAAATTTTCAATTGTCTTATTTGTCAAAAATAAATATCATTTTATTTTGATTTGAAAATTTAAGAAATGTTTCGTTTCAACAAAATTAATTAGTGAAAATGCAGTGAAAATTATTAATATAGTAGAAGTAGAATTATTATAATTGTGTGTATAATTGTGCTGCATATAATTGTTGAAATGCATTCAGATTAGGAAAAAAAATTTAATTAACAGAAACATTCATATTATTATAATTGTTGCCTCGCTTGAGAAATATAAATTTTAACACAATTTCAAGTGTTGCTGATGAAAATTATTTTTATTGTTTAATTATTTGGTGAAAAATAGCTTACTATAAGTACATCTTTTTGATGACTACCTCGGGCGCTTTTGCCTTTTATAATAAAACATATTAAATTTCGAGCCTCGTGTGAAATATCAATATTAGTTTTGCATCTCACGCACGCATAATATATATTATTTTATACAAATGTAGTTGTGATCGTTAAGGCGAGTGGATTTCAAATTTATATAGAACAAGCAAATAATTTCAGTGAAAATAGTTTGTCATGTTTATGATTCCTCTCTCTCTCTCGCTCTCTCTTTTAGCCTCGAGCTGTTAATTATTTCTCATTTTATTTTCATGGTGTGTTGTAAATTTAAATAAAAAATATGGTTCAGGGGACACAATAATTATGCGTATTTTAAATTTTTGTTTCAATTTTAATTTCCTAACAAACAAAATGTGTTAATATTTAATTTTATTATTCTTTTTTTATCATTTAAATTGTAGTAGAAAAACTAATTTTTATTAACACAAACTACGGTTATTGGTATTTATTTCATAAGAAAAACTAGATTTTGTTTACTTGAATGTCTGGTTGTAAGTGGACTTAGAGAACATTATTTTTTTTAATTTTACATCACTTTTGTTGTAATTAGTTCAAATTTTTACTAAATCAGATTTTCAGAATAAATTTAGTAAGACTATTTTTGCAAGAAAAATTTAGAAATTATTCTATTTTCCATAATCTTATGTTTATAAGTGAATTTTGTTTAAAGATACCATTTTTGTTAGAAAATGATATAATATTTATTTTTTTAATATCATTAAATTCTCTTTCAAACAATTTTATTAAAATTTTCGAAAAGAATTCAATTTCTACTAAAATGTTTTCTAAAATTAGATTTTAAAAAAACTGAATTCTTGCAAAGAATTTTATTAAAATTTTGAAAAATAATTGAATTCTTTCAAAGAATTTTCTTATTTATAAAATTAATTGAATTATTGGGAAGGATTTTATTAAATTTTCAAAAATAATTGAATTCTTTCAAGAATATTGAAAATAATTGAGTTTTTTCGAAAAATTTTATTATTTATAAAAATACCTAATTGAATTCTTGCGAATAATTATATCTAAATTTTCAAAAATTTATCAAATTCCTGCAAAGAATTATATTATTTATGATAATAATTGAATTTTTGAGAAGAAAATATTTATAATAATTAAATTATTTCAAAAAATTTTGTTATTTATAAGGATATCTAAATTCTTGGAAAGGATTATTCTTTAAATTTTCGAAAATAATTCAATTCTATCGATTATTTAAATTTTTTTATGAGAATAATTGACTTCTTTTGAGGATTTTTATTTAAATTCGAATTGAAAATAATTGAATTCTTTCCAAGAATTTTACTAAAATTTTTGAAAATAATTGAATTGTTTTGAAGGATATTATTGAAATTTTTTTGAAAATAATAAATAATAATTAATTAGTTAATAAATGAATTATTTTATTGTGAATCTTAAATTATTTAAATAATTGTAAATAATATTAATAAATAAAAAATTTTGTGATTTACATGCTAATATTGTTTTGATAAAAAAATTTGGATGAAATAAATTTAATTTTGATAAAAAAGATTTTGAATGGAAAACATTATTTTGATAAACAAAAATGTTGAGAGAAAAAATTATTATTCTTGATGATAAAATACTAATTTTCATAAAATTGTTTGTAATTTGTGCGAAAAAAAATATTTTGATAAGAAAAATGTGGGAAAAAAATAATTCTTCTGATAAAAAAAATGTTGAGAGCAAAAATTATTATTTGTGACAATAAAATACTAATTTTCATCCAAATTGTTTTCAATTTGAATAAAAATAATTTCAATGAAAAAAATTATTTTGTAAAAAAAAATTTTTGACCGAGAATTTTTTATTCTCTTAAAAAAAAAGTTGAGAGAAAAAATTATTAATTTTGCGATAATAAAATACTAATTTTCGTAAATTAGTTTTTTTTTAAATTTTAAATTTTTGATGAAATAAAAATTGTAAACTATTTTTGTAATGAATATTGTTTGTATTTACAGGTGAAACTCTGGTTGTGTGGTTTTGTCTGGATTACTTGTCGGATTTTCTCTATTTGATCGATATAGCCTTTCATTTTCGTACGGGTTATCTTGAGGACGGTGTGTTACAAACCGATGCCACAAAATTAAGAACACATTATATGAACAGTACCACATTTTACATAGACTGCCTGTGCCTGTTGCCTCTCGACTCTTTATACTTATCTATAGGATTTAACAGTATACTCCGAAGTTTTAGGCTCGTTAAAATTTATCGGTAAGTTTTCAAAATAATATCTACGAAAAAAAATTAATTTTAAGTAAATAAATAAATTTATTTATAAGTAAATATTTAAACGTAAGCGTTTATATTTTCTTTTAACGTAACGTTAATATTTATTTAAATATACTTAAATAAAAGTATTTATTTGAATATAGGAATAAAAATAATCATTTTTATATATTAAAATAAATATTTATTTACGCATACGAATGAAAAGATTTACCTTGAATATATAAACAAAAATATTTATTTAAATATTCCACTAATCGTTTAGTTAATAATAATTATTATTTTGTACTTTTAACTAGTAACTGTCTTCTTTATTAATTAAAGAATAATTTATTATTTAGAAAAAAGTAGATTTATACATAGAAATTAATAATTAAATTTTTAATTAAAATAATTTATTTTGAGGGAGGCTAATTATATTTGTATATTTAAAAATTTGTTTACTATTTTAAAAATTTATTAATTAATTTATTTCACTTATTAGTGGGATTTTTTTGACATTTTCCTATTTAATTTTAATTAATTAAGTAGCTATTTCGTTTGAAATTTTCAGATTTTGGGCGTTTATGGATAGAACTGAAAGACACACGAACTATCCGAATTTGTTTCGCTCCACCTCCTTGATACATTACTTACTGGTGATCTTTCACTGGAACGGGTGCCTCTATCATATTATTTATAAGAACAATGGTTTCGGGAGCAAAAATTGGGTTTACAAGGAGTCAAAATCGACGGATGTTGTCGACCAGTACCTGCAGAGTTACTATTGGTGCACGTTAGCTCTCACAACCATTGGCGACCTTCCAAGGTGAGTTATTTTCAATTTCCATTCTCTATTTACTTAATTATTACGAATAAATTTCTATTCTCTACTTACTTAATTATAACAATGCACATTCATTTTTATTCTTTTTTTACTTAATTATTACAAATTAATTTCTATTCTCTATTTATTAAATACATACTTGGAAATTATTTACAAAAAACCTACTATTTACTACTTTATTTTCTACGATTTTCTACGAGGTACTATTTGGATATTTTTTTTAAGTTTTGTACCACAAAAAACTTTTTTTTCTTTTCTTTTTGAGAATTTGCAGTACCTTAAAACCGCTAATAGTTGAAATAAAAAAATTAATATTTATTTTCTTTGAAATAATCATCAAATGAATAATCTAATCACCTTGTCTTTTTATAAATATTTTATGAAAATTATTAAATTCTTGCCAAGAATTTTATTAAAATTTTCAAAAATTATTAAATTCTTTCAAGAATATTGAAAATAATTGGATTCTTGGCAAGTATTATATTCAAATTTTCAAAAAAAATTGAATTCTTTCAAAAATAATTGAATTCTAGTGAAGAATTTTATTATTTATGAAAATAATTGAATTCTTGTGAAGATTTTTATTCAAATTTCTAAAAAATAAAGGAAATCTTTCAAAAATATTATAATATATTATATAATATATATTCAAATTGAACTTCATTCAAATAAATAAATATATTCGAATTTTCAAAAATAATTGAATACTATCGAGAATAATTGAATTCAAGCGAAGAATTTTATTATTTATAAAAAGAATAAAAAATTTTATTCAAATTTCCAAAAAATTAATCAAATATTTTGTAGAATTATATTCATATTTTAAAAAATAATTGAATTCTTTCAAAGAGTGTTAATATTAATAACAATAACTGGATTTTTGCGAAGGATTTTAAATAACATTGTAACAAATAATTAAATAGTATCGAGGTATTATATTAAATGTGTGTTAAAAATAATTGAATTCTTGTCAGGAATAAAATTAAAATTATTTTCAAGAATATAGAATTTCATTCAAATTTCCAAAAAATATATAAAATCTTTAAAAAATATTGAAAATAATTTAATTTTTAAAAGAATAATATTCAAATTTTCAAACATAATTGAATTCTTTCGAGAATATTTAATCTTCAAAATATTGAATATATTTCAAAAGTATTGAAAATAATTGAATGCTTGGGAAGAATTATATTCAAATTTGCAAAAATAATTGCATTTTTTTGAGAATATTAAAAATAATTGAATTCTTTCAAAGAATGTTATTATTAATTTATAACAATAACTGAATTTTTGCGCATAATTTTATTAAAATTGTGTATTCAAAATAATTGAATGTCAGCAAAGAATTTTATTATTTATGAAAATTATTTAATTCTTGTAAAGGATTTTATGACAATTTTTTGTAAATAATTGAATATCAAGAATCGTTTTTTCAATTAAATTTCAATAGGTTTTTAAATTGCAATTTTTTAAAAAGTATAATACCCAATATTTAAATATTTATTTTTAAAAATAATTTATTTATTATATTTCTGAAAAATTACTAGAATAATGTGATTTAAAAAAATTGTAAATAATAATTTAATTTTGGAAGAATTGCATTTTTAATTTTTACAAACAATTTAGGAAAATAATTAACAAGTATTTAAATTTTTGTTATTTAACAAAAAATTAGATTTTTGGAAAATTGAAATTAAAATTTCTGGTAGATAGTTGAATTTTCAGAAATAATTTAATAAAATTGAAACTGAGCTATTTTTTACTACTTCCTCTTTTCAGTCTTAAACCTACTTTTTGTTACTTTTTAAAATTAATTAAAGTATGAAACCTGTCAATTATTATTAATTTTTATTCTTTATTTAGTAAATTATTAATTTATATTACATATTAAAATTCAAATAATATTGTTTCATTATCCTTATTATCAAACTACTCGTAATGTCAAAATTCGTGAAGTGGGCAACTAATTTTCAGTTGGTCAATAAGTTTTCATAAAATTTATGTTTTTCTGTTTGAAATAATAAATAAAAAATACAAGTTGAACAGTTTTGCAAAATTCGTTTTTTTGTTGTACATATTGTTAAACAAACTTTTTTGCATGAATTTAGAAAATTTTTTTTTTAAATAAAGTAATAGGTAAAATTTAATGATTTTTGGTATTGTTATATAAAAATAACACGATTTTTGATTAACATTTTTCATTTTAAAATTTAACGTAATTTGATAAAATTATAAACAATTTATTTAAACAAATGAAAATAAATGCAACTTCTCGATCTGTTATTTTATTTTTCAAAATTGAATAGGTATTGTTCCTTATTTAATGCCCAAGTATTACCAAAAAGAAAAAATTGGTATTTTACATTTGTTCAAAAGAAATAAATAATTATGTTAATAATAATAAGCATTAAAAAATCATAAAATCTTAAAAATATTTTTTTTAGCTTCATTAATTAACAAAATTAATTAAAAAAACCTATTAAAATAATGTTTGAGTGTTTCTGATGTATGAAAAAAGTATAACAATTTATTAAATTGTTTAAACAATTAATTGTTGTAATTTTTTTAAATCTGCACTTAGGGCTAAAAATTTCTAGTTTTTTCTCAATAATTGTGCAATTTGTCAAGAGTAAAACATCTGGTAATGATAAAAAATAAAGAATAAATTAATTAAACATTGTTTAAACAATTAATTGTTATTTTTCTCATAAAGTGTACTTGGGATTAGAAATTTCTAGTTTTTTCTGTATTGTGCATTTTCTTGTAACTACCACATTTAAGTATCAAAGAAAAGCAAAAAATTAAATATTTAAACATTGTTTAAACAATTTATTCTATTAATTTTTCAATTTACTGTACTTAAAACTATAAATTCCTAGTTTTTTCTTAATTGTGACATTTTTTATATAACTTAAACACTTAAGTGTAATAGAAAAACTAAAAATTTATTATTTAACCATTGTTTAAACAATTTATTAACATTTATTTTATTATTTTTTTAAATTTAATTTTTTTAGTTGATTGAATTTAGAAAAAACTAGATATTTCTAGCTCTAAGTACACTTTATGAGAAAAATAACAATTAATTGTTTAAACAATGTTTAATTAATTTATTTTTTATTATTACAAGATGTTTTACTCTTGACAAATTGCACAATTATTGAGAAAAAACTAGAAATTTCCAGCCCTAAGTGCAGATTTAAAAAAATAACAACAATTAATTGTTTAAACAATTTAATAAATTGTTATACTTTTTTCATACATCAGAAACACTCAAACATTATTTAAATAGGTTTTTTAATTAATTTTGTTAATTAATGAAGCTAAAAAAAATATTTTTAAGATTTTATGATTTTTTAATGCTTATTATTATTAACATAATTATTTATTTCTTTTGAACAAATGTAAAATACCAATTTTTTCTTTTTGGTAATACTTGGGCATTAAATAAGGAACAATACCTATTCAATTTTGAAAAATAAAATAACAGATCGAGAAGTTGCATTTATTTTCATTTGTTTAAATAAATTGTTTATAATTTTATCAAATTACGTTAAATTTTAAAATGAAAAATGTTAATCAAAAATCGTGTTATTTTTATATAACCATACCAAAAATCATTAAATTTTACCTATTACTTTATTAAAAAAAAAACTTTTCTAAATTCATGCAAAAAAGTTTGTTTAACAATATGTACAACAAAAAAACGAATTTTGCAAAACTGTTCAACTTGTATTTTTTATTTATTATTTCAAACAGAAAAACATAAATTTTATGAAAACTTATTGACCAACTGAAAATTAGTTGCCCACTTCACGAATTTTGACCCAAAACATTTAATTATTTTAAAATTCTACAATGTTTTTCTTTTCTTTACAGGGGAGAGTAGAAAAATAGTTTTGGCTCATCCCCAGAGGAACAATTTAATTATTATTAAAATTTAACACTAATCTGATTATTATTATCCAAAAAGTATCTAATATTTACAGAAAAAGACTTAACGATTTTGAAATAATTTTGCAATTTTCAGACCAAGAAGCAAAGGAGAATATCTGTTTGTGATAGCTCAACTTCTCTTCGGATTGCTTCTCTTCGCGACGGTGCTCGGTCACGTGGCAAATATCGTCACGTCTGTCAGTTCGGCCAGGAAGGAATTTCAGGGTGAGTCGAAAAACATAGTATTTTACATTAGTTTTAAAGACATTTCGTTTACGATATCAGTGAGCATTGCTCTCAATATTTTCCTAAAATTTTTTCCTTTGGTGAAATTAATTATTTCGAGCTACACTTTCGTTAAAAAGAAAAATTATTTACCAATAGTTGAATGACGTATTTTAATCATTCAACGAAATATGAATTCAAAAAGCCTATTTTCAAGTAGAAAATTTTTTCGAAAATTCACTCCAAACTTAAAAATGGTTTTTTATTAAATTATTCCAAATTTTTATTAGATTGTACAAAAAGAAAATCTTCGCTAAAAAATTAAGAAGAAAATTTAAAAAAGAATTTTCTCGTATTTTATTTTCAACTTCAACGGAATTTTTCATGTTCTCGTAATTGTGTATAATTGGCATTTGTTGTTTTAAATTATTTTTTTTCAACGATTTGTTTTTAATTAGCGTTACACGAGTTTGGGTGATTTATAATAGGTGAAAATATTTGAATGTAAAAGGGCAATTTTTTTTTTAAATTCAACTCTCAGAGGCAGGTGGAATTTGTGGTATATGACTGGTTGCGTAATTTGCCGGAACAAATTCATTAAAAGTGTTGTTAATTACGGGCCGACAAAGCACAGCTTGTTTCGCCTCCAGTTCAAAATATGTGCCCGGTGGCGTAAATGCATTTTTAGAATCATCAATTATTTACACTAATTTGAATTTCCTAGTATATGAAAATCACTTCGTAATGAATTGCTCCATTGTTTTTCATTTTTTGGGGGGGGAGGGGTTTCATTGCAAAAGGAAAAAAATTTCTTACACTAAATAATAAACTACAAGATGATGGCTTGTATTTTTTTAAAATTAGAAAAGCTCTTTTCAATTTTTATCTCTAAAATGCAGGGAATTTATCGCAGAGAGTGCAAATATTTCTTTTCGTATTATAATATACTGAAAGATAAACACATAAATTTAAGTTGAACTAAAATTGTGTTTTAAACACCGCGTTGAATAAAATTATGGTTATGAATATTATTTGAAAAAAGGAAAAAACGTGCAGTTTTCGGTCTTTCCACAAGTCAGGAAAATCGGAAAATTCACCGAAAAGTCAAAAAATGAATTTGACCAGAGAAAATGTCAGGAAATATCAAAAGTACTGGAAAAATATCAAAACCTTGTTAAAATTTGAATTTTTTGTTTACTTTATTCCGTTGAACTAAATACATTACCCTATTAACAACAGATTTTCAGATAATAAGAATGAAATGAATAATAAAAATTCAATTAACAATTTTCGAATAACTTTAGATTTGATTTTCAGATAATAAGAATGAAATTAATAATGAAAATTCAATTAACCATTTTTGAATAAACATATAATTAAATATTTAATGATATTTGGTTGCGCTTTAACTCAATTTCGAATGTATACGAATTGAATCATTTGCAAATCTACTCAACATCAACTAAAGTTGTTTCCCAAGCTGTGATGCAGTTAAACCGCAACGGGACGTCGCGTCGCTTGAGAATTTACGTTGAACTTTGTGCGATTTACCAAGTTAGCGCAAATCTAAATCCACATTAAAGTTTGCTTCTAAAAATATTCTCCTCTAACATTTCCCTGCGCAAAATTACTCCCCGGTAAGATCTTGATCCTTTAACACCATCAGAGATTAGTCACAGCTAACTTAACTTTCGAACACATTAAATTATTAATATACACACACTCACCCACCCACACATACTTTGACTTCAAAGAGAACTTCACAGGAAATTATTTAGTTAATTGAAAATTTAATAATGCGTGGAAACAAAAATTTAATATTCAATAAAAAAATTTTAATTGAGAAAGTTTGCAAAAGAAATTTTGCAAAATTCTAACCCAGTTTTGCCTCTTTCCATAAAAGGATAAAATTGAGGTACTTAAGAAGTAATTGTTACAGAATGTGAATAAATAATCGCAATAGATATAAACTTGATCGAATTCTAGGAAATTAGTATTAGTAGTAAAGGTCTGTTAGGATTAAACAGTGGATAATTGAGAATTTTTTTGTAGAAATCAATGAAAGTTAGACGTAATCTTTATTGAATGTGATATCAGTAGTATAAGACTAATATAGTCGGACAATTAAGTCTAAATTTTTTATAAATTGTGCGAAAATGAATGTGGAGAATAAAAAAAAATAATATAGAAAAGTTCTAAATTATACAAAAAAAATTTTTAATGGTAATTTTATTTGAGCAGAATGATATTTTGGATAAATAAATAAAAAGGAGTGATTTCACTTTCTAATCTTGCATACTTGAAGGAAAGCAAGTTGGAAAGGGAATGCAGCATCAGTTTAGTAAATGAATTTATATATAGTGTTCTGGTTGGGCCATTAAACCCGTTATACGCCGGTTAGTGATATTCTCCAAGTAGAGTCTCTCGCTGATAATTCACACTGTGCGGGTATATACTGGAAGTGTCTACTGGTGTATTTAATTCGCTATCTCAACGGGAGCAGGTCTGAGACGGTGAGCTAAGCCAGCTAGATTATCCATCATTACGGTAACGAGTATTACGACGCGCCTCTCCCTAAAGACTGATATACGCGAGTGAGCTGCACAAACGTACCTCTATTCCTAACAGGTGATGTACGAGGCCATTAATAACTAATTATGAGACTCCATTCACATACTGATGTGATGTGGTCTACTCAACTACAAATTCTATTGTCAAAAACAGATAACAGTTTACTTCCTATCAATTAATTTTGCATAAGTTGCAATTCTCTTCAATTCTTATTATTCCTCCTTTTCATTCACTTCTCCATGGAAATTTTACTACACTAGAAACTGTCAATGCAACTAGCAGGCTTCACAGTCTGTCCCCTATTTACCTAAAAGTCCCCTTTTTTTAATTTTGGCCCCTAAACGTACCCTATTTTTTTCGTCACAGGAAATCAATTATTTTCAATAATTTTTAAGTAATTCTGCAAAAGAATTCAATTATCTTGATAACCAACAAAATTCTCCCCATAAAATCAATTATTTTAAGGATTTTTAATGAAAAAAATTCTTCTCAAGAATTAAATTATTGTCAAAAATTTTGATTAGAGTAGAACGGGGTGAAATAGCCACATTTTTACATTTTAATTTATAAAATCTGAATTTAAAATTTATTTCTCAAATTTTCAATTGGCATTGAAAGTTTAGTTATTAAGCTTGAATATTCTTGAAGGAAATATTTTTTATCCCATGAAAGGACTAAGTTATAAGAGTTTTACGAAACCTCTGCAAATGGCTTTTTTGTACCACCTGGTGGGGGGAGAAAGCCACCTCGCGATTTTATCAAAATATGTTATTAATTTTGGTATTTTTATAGTTTTCCTTTATTTACATGACAAATAATCTTATTTTTAAAATATTTTAATAAATTTTAAAGAGCTTTTAGCAATAAGGAAAATTGAATATTATGTTAAGTTTACCTGTTTTTGATTTACACTGCCAAGTTTTTGTACCTTTTTTTAAAGTCTTCCTTAAATTTCACCACAGATGCCATATTTTGTTGCAACCGATTTTTCGTTGTTTATTTTTAACGCACTTTATACTATTTTTTCGTCGTGTTTAATTAATTTTATTAAGTAAACACGCGAAAATTTTGTAAAATTAGAAGGTTAGTTTAAGTAGAAAACAAATGAATTTCACATAATATTCAACGGATTTTTGTCCCTGGCTTTTTCACCCCCAAGACCAGTTTTTCTAAAAGCTAAAATAAATTTTAAATTCAGTTCAATTTCCAAAAATTAACATTGTATACGTTTTGAGTATAGTTTTCTCCTTATGTACAAATATTTACTTTTATTACCCGTTCACTTAAACAGGTTGTAATATGTTCGAAAAGTTCATCGAAATATTATACGCAGAGCAACTCAAAAATTAAAATTACAATAAAAATTATATTAATAAAGGTACAACATCCAAACTAGTATCAAATGTTGCGTATTAACTGATAGTATTTATATTCTAAATAGATGATAAATCGGTTTAATAGTTTTCAAATAAAAGTCAAATGGCTTTTTTGCACCATGGCTATTTCACCCCGTCCCAATAGGAAATTTACAACTGGCGGAGTACTGCGCCAGCACTGGCAGGACTGGCAGCTACGCTGATAGACAGCACTGGCATAACTCTGGGATGATAACGCTGTCTAACACTGGCGAAGTACTGCCTGCCAGTGCTGCCAGACAGCGCTGGCGCAGCACTGGACCAGTGCTGGCTGAGAATATTGCCGCAATAAATGCCGTATTGTTATTAATTAGTCGAAAATTAATAATTATAAATAATTTAACAACAAAGTGGTGAATAATATTAATAAATAGTTATTATTCATAAAATATTTCTCTTCTTAAAGAAATTGTATTAAAGGTGGAGACTAACAATGGATATAGTAAATGAAGTAGAAAAAAATTGTTTATAACATTTAAAAATTAAATAATAAACAATTACAGTAAGTGTGCATTAGATTTTCATATTTTAGTACCTAACGATTGGAATCTAGAAATATCGCAAACCTATGAAAATAAACAAAATTGCTGACGAGGGGAATCGAACCTACGACCTACGGACTAACAGACTAACGCTCTAACCACTATGCTAACGACACATGTGTACAGTAAAGTATTAATATCTCAGTATCATTCAGACATACAATTATTGAGTCAAAGATGAGAAAAAAATAAGGATTCGTTAGAAATAATAAATTGAAATCAAATAAATTAAACTAAATTTTTAATAATTAAATTAAATTCCTTAAAAGAAATTAAATATTTTCAAAAGTTGTTAATACAATTTTTCGTAAAAGAAATTTTTTAAGAAACATACAATATTAATAATTTTTGTATTTAAATAATTGATTTCTTGTAGAATTAAATTATTGTTTTTCGTACTTTTAACTAACAATTCTGTAGAATTAATTTTTTTGAAAAAGTTTAATGGAATAATAATTGAAAATTAAAAATT